TTCTGAATAAATAAACAATATACTTACCTCTTCAAAACAACTAGTATAAATCAATTTTTTGATTGTTTTTGCATTTGCGTAATTTTAGAAGCAATTGAAATAATTGCTACTTCGATTCTCATTCTGCAGCTGGCAAGTGTTTTCCCTATATAGATATACATATATATATTTTATATATGTATTATATATATATTCTATTTATAGATATATTGAAACACGTTTAGACGAAAAATGCATTAATTAATTAATTTGTTTATTGAATGCCATTATATGCCATGTGTCTGTTCGTATGTCTAGGTCTATGTCTATGGTTTGTGTCTTGGCTGAAAACGATGTGAATTGCTTACGAGCTAAAACAAATATGGTATGAATGCGATGCGGTAGATGCGTGTGGGCTGTGAAAAACATCTCTAAAATTTACAAATAATGCATGTATAAAAAATGTCTATATAGAATATGAATAATGTATGCGAAAAAGAGTCGTGGCAGAGTCGAAATCCCAAGTAGATCAGGAAGAACCATATTCAGTCGGCTTATATATGTATATTCATATACAATGTTCCAGACGCTCAGGCCGATTGCAATGGTATACGCTGTTTGATTACCTATAAACAGGGAGAGAGAGAGAGATGGTGGAAGAGTGAGAGAGGTATATAAACATTTGTAATACAATTTCTTTTTCTTTCTCTTGTTTACAATTAAATACTAATAAAGGCGAAAAATCAATTAAGACGCGTGTGAAATACGTCAGAGTTGAATCTAAATTTGGACGAACATATTAGCTAGATGTGCTTTTTTTTGCTTTCTATCGATCGATCGTTTATTTAGGTCTATTTATAGGCGGGGGCGTGAACTGAATCATCGGCGGGTCAAAACAGTAAGCACAGGAAATGCGTTTTCCACGTAAAGCAAACATCATAATAATGAGAGAAACACGCACAAGCTAAAGTAAGTGAAATGGGGGAGAGCAAAAAATAACAATAAGACGAAATTATTATGATTCAGTTACGAAGAATATATACTCTTTTGGGATATATATAAATATACATATACGTTCATATATATTTATATAATAATGTCAATAAGGGTTATTTCTCTGAATACCTTTTTAAATATTGCATAAACATTTTTTTGTGAGCTAGTTCTGTATTTGTTAAACGAGACATTTTATAACATAGAGACATAGATAGATAGATAGTGAGGAAACATGGGAATAAGATACCTGCTTAATATTTTCTAGAGACGGTTTCTGGGTGACAACAAAAGCAACAAATTCCTCTCAGATATTGTTGTTATATATTATTTCAGCTGCAGCTTAAGAGCAACTGAGTCAAAGGTTTTTCAACTAGACAGAGACAGACAGACAGAGAAAGGGGCAAGCAGAGAAATCTGTGTGGACATTTTTATATAATTTGAATTGTCTTTCAAGTCTCCTATTGCACATGTCTATCATTCACTCACGAGCTAAGCACCCATTTGCTGGGGCATCATTCGAATCAATTAAATTGTTGATTAACTAACCTCAGAGCACATGGTCTTGTAGATCTCGTCGGTGTCCCAGGGCCCACGTTCGGGCAGTGCGATGCCACGCCTACGCAGCTCCTGAACACAGTCCGTTAAATCGAAAATGGGCAACGGATCGATGCTGGCCTTGGCAACCTTGCCAGCCAAATACTCGACGTAATGCGTG